AAAAAAAAAAAAAAAAACTGCTCAGGCTGAATCAAGAAAATTGTCAAGAATTAAAAGAAAATAAAAACACTACTAAAAAGTTTACATTACTAAACTCTAAACGTGTCACAGATCAATATTATTTTTTAAACTCTATTAAGCCACATAAATAGGCTTGCGATTATTCATCTACCAAAGTTTAGCCCACAGTGACATTTACTGCCAGGTAGGAAAACTGAAGAACTAGCTCCGTCTATAATTCAAGGGCTGACGCAGCCTTAACTATACCAGCGTGAAGAGTCACTATAATAGGCTTTGACAGCCTCCCCCACTCCAATTATTTTCATAAAAAAACAAATTAAAAGATGGTGCTGTTTTAAATAGAATTTCTGCTAAATAACTATTATCTGAGAAATACATATTATTTGTAAGCAGTGGGTAGTAATGGAATGGAACCAAGAGTCAGCTTTTGAGGCAGGAAGCTAAAGCATCATTTTGTAATGCCTGAAGAGATTTTTAAAACTCATCTAAATACCATTAAACGTCTGCCCTTTTTATTTCATTGATTTAAACCATTTCTGAAGACTCATGATTCAAAAAGGTAAAGATGGTAATTTAAAAGCCATAGGGAAAAATCTCTCCCCAGGGAACTTTTCAGGAAAGCAGCCACCAGTCTCTGATAAGTGAGGAATCTGTTGTGGTATTGCTTTCAGTACAGTATAAATTTATCTGGCATTATCTCCCAGTAATGCATGCATCATTTCACTGGAAGCAAAGATAGGATAGCCGTAAGAGCAAACAAAGCAGGAAGAACAGGAGAGAGCAGGGCAGAGAGCAGCAGGCTCCCAGGCTTTCGACAGGAAAAATCTCAGTCTCAACGTTTACCCCCATCACAAACAACTGTGCAGGATAAATGCTGTTTGCAAATTCAGTTTAATGAACTAGGAAGGCAATTTCGCATTAAGGAGCCAGTGACTGTGTATGAGCGTTTTTAGGCAGTATATAACCTATATGTGGTAAATAAGAATCCCAAACAGTAACGAAGAGGAAGCGATGGGTTGGCCGTTAGCAATATTAGATTTCTGAAAAATCATTAGAAAGATGCTTCCCATTCTCCGTATTTAATACAATTACATATTGTTTCATTTGAATCAACAATAAGTCTTTCTACAAGCTGTGTTTTTAAGGCATTTCCTTTTATCACTGCCTTTCTTATATATGACTACTTTTCATACTTTGAGGCAACTAATCAAAAATATACATACCAATATTATACTCAGTTAAAAACAATCTTCAACAATTGCATTATTCCCAAATTAATTTTTGTTTTGTTTTGTTTTGTTTTTCTTCCTGTACCAGGAATCAAACTCAAGACCTTGCGCTTGCCAGACAGGCGGTGTTCTGCTGAGCTAAATCCCCAGCCCCTTATTCCCAAATTAAATTTAAATGTCAATTTTAAATGAATAATAAGTTTCTTTAGTGATGTTTTCAAAATTAAAAGTACTCTCAGGAAGAGCCCAGCTGAACTTTGCAAAAGAAAGAGTACTCGGAGAAAACTGAAATCCACACCTTTCTGGGACAGTCTGGCATTATCAGGCTGGCAGACTGCTCGGCCCCAAGCGCTGTCCCCAGTCTCAAACTGGGGCATGTTCCTTTCTCTCTCAGGACTCAATTTATGGCTGTTTCCTTCTAATCACAACCGGCGCCCACAAAGAGACTTTTCAACAGAGACAGCCAGAACAGGAGAGGAAAAAAAACACTGGCCACTAAATCCTTGCAGGAGGCCCAGGTGTAAAACCAAACCAATAGTCAACCCAACCATGGACTTACCTTCCAGGGGGTCCTTATTGAGCCCCAGTTGGCTTATGATATACCTGGGAATGTCAGTTTTGATGCCCTGTCCTTCTTTTGCATGGCCTTCTGCTGCCTCCAATAGGTAATAAAATTCTTCAGGATCAAATTCCTACCAAAGACAAACGCAGGTATAGTGCTTTGAGCCAAAATGGTCTGAGATTTTATTACATAAATTCCATTTCAATATAATTGCTGTATTTATATGATTGTAGGTTATGCAGAAAGAAGTTGCTTGCTTTAAAAAGTACATAATTCTCACTTTGAAGCCTATTCATGTTCTAAGCCAATACATTACCGTACATTATGCAATTGGTACCTCAAATATAATGATCATTTCCAATGTCCTTCTAATATAACTTTTCAGGTACTATGTTCACTAAGGATCTCAATCTCATTGAGAAAGAACAGGTCTGGGCTGGGATGTAGCTCAGTGGTAGAACACTTGACTATACAAGGCCCTGAGTTCAATCCCCACTACCCCACACACAACCGATAAAGGTCTGATTTTATTTGTATGTGTTTGTTTTGTGAACTGCGGTCAGGCTATTTTGCCCAGGCTGGCCCTGAACTTCTGACTATATGCCTATGCCCCTCCCCCAATTAGTTATGATTTTTATTATTATTTATTTGTGGTACTAGGGATCAAATCAAGGCTTTATATCATCTAAAATGTATGCTATGTTGTAATATGCTCACAGCTGTTATTTTTAGTTATATTTCTTGAATTTCTCTGTCCAAGCTCTTTCCCATTTTGATTAATGTCCCAAGTAGGCACTTTTGGAATTTCAGCATTTCACTGACAATTACTTGAGTGTCTAAGGTGCATATAAAAATGCTCACTGCAAATGAAGGAAAACCCGACCAGTGTAAACGCTCAGTACCGTGTCTGGACACCTATGATGACAGCAGGTCCATAGATGATGGGTTAAGGAAGTGTCCCCTTATACTCTGAAACTCCAGTTTCTACATCAAACAAACTTCTAAGTCTACCCATTTATGTCTTCAAGAAGCTGTATTTTTACTGCTTCTCCTCTGATGACCAGTGATTACCATAAAAAAATCCATTTCCTCTTTTAAGGCAAGATTTGCTCTTAGCCTATCACTGTTGTTCAGAAAAATAGGTTTTAAGGCTAAGTGGCATTCACTGCCAAATTAAACTCCTGCACCATGCAAAAGCTCCACAGCAGGAGGAGCAGCAAAAAGTAAGTTTCCCATCTAGCTGGCTTGCCAGTTACCCAGCTCTCCTCCTCAAAGGCATTTACAAGAGCTGATCCCCTCCACCCTTCCAGAGAAATTTTAGGTCAAATGGTGCATTTGATGTTGTGATCCTAGGATCCTGAACTGATGGAAAACCTGCTCCTCACTTTTTTCCTCAAGATCCCCCTGACTGTGTCTCATCAGGCGTTGGTATATATTTATGGAACTCTGAATATTTAAATATTGTTAAACATCATAAATGTTAGTGAAAGTAGGATACAGTTAAAACACCACAACCATATGGGTGTGTGTGTGTGCATGTGTTTGTAATGCCAAAAACTGTACTGTACATGGAGTTGTGATTATCTTAAAGTAATTTAATGTTTAGTAAAACTTAAAAGTGAACTTTAAGGTCACATCAACAACCCCTTAAAATAATTATGTTCAAAGCTTCGTATCTATTTACAGTATAGATTTAAAGCTAAGTCAAAATTTCATAAAACAAAAACTTGCAATTGGGAATGGCCACTGGCCAACAATATATCAATGCAAAATTAAACCAATCTTTAATAGTTTCATTCTTTCAGCTGTTTGATATCCTAGTGTATTCTTCTAAAAAGGCTGCCAACTAGTACTTATTTCTAAAATGCCCCATTTTAAAAATGCATAATAACCACAGCTCACTATTTAATAGATTGCTGACTTCCCTCTGAATCTCAGCAACTCTGAAAATGGGAGACACAGTAAGTGTTTTAAATTAGTTGTGACATAAAGAAATTATGTTGAGATAAGGTCAAGTGCATTGTTTTATGATCATCTTTTGAGTCTGACCAGAATGTGGTATGACTACCACTTAGTACAGCACCAGCCCTAGAATTCTTTCTTAAAATCAGAAAAGACAAGTCACATATGGGTGTCATCATAAACATTCACTGGTCATAGCTCCTCCTGACGCTTTCCATTTAGCACTGTGGGCTGAGGTTAAATGAAACGGGAGCTTTCTGATGGTTTCTGCTGTCCCACATTTAACAATAAATAATGTAGTCACATCTCAAGGCAACTTACCAGGCACTCTAATAGGCGAGCAGGGCGGGCAATAACAATTAGGATCTTTCGGACTAGCTGTTTAATGAATGCCAATTCTCCACTTTCTGAACGATCATGAGCCTATGAAAAAGCAATGAAAAGTATAATGACACAGAGTTGCTCCACTAAATGGAAAAGAAAATCAGCAAAGCATGGTAATTAGATAATTGCAAACTTTAAAACTTGAATGATTTAGAAAATATTCTTAAGAGATTGATAAGCAGGCATCATTTCTTCATAAATGGACACTATTAAACATCTACAAAATAGTTCTACTAGCTAAACTTTAATTGCAAAACTTTGATTTATTATCTGGTAAAAATCAAACATGAGGACTCTTGATGTGAACCACGAAGGAAGGAGATATTAAAGTAGAGGGAGCTGATCAAGAACTTGGACTTTCCAGATGTTCACATCTGAGATGTGTCAAACAGCTAACACACTGATGGACTGCTTTTGCTAACTGATCATGTAACATGCTCATGAAAAACAGTTCCCATAGGCAATATGATTAGCCTGTAAAGTAGCTATTTTGTCACACGTGATGAGTGTGCAATGCTTATTTCAAATGTTGGCTGAAAATGTTTATATTTGCTTATACATGTGAATTACAATTTTACACCTAGGTATTCAATTTAGTAAAACTGAACTGACTTAAAATCTTTTAAAATTTCGTTATACATGTTGCCCAAGTACAATAACTATTCTAAGAGCAAAGTTCAGTTTGTTAATAGTCATTGAAAATTTCAATGATATTTTCTTAAAGAAGTCTGGTAAATCTCTCACAAGGCTGTCACAGGACAAAAGTTTTAGAATCTTAAATGTAAATTTCTAGGCAACTTACATTACACAATGTAAATTAGGCTTCCTTAAATTTTAATTGTTTATGATTTACTATCTGCTAAAGATTTTAAAATGTTATCAAGTGATGCTAATAGAGTATAATATCACAGACACAGTAATGAACCACGTTTCTTGAAGGTTCTTAAATGTAGACCCCCAGTGCTCCCACAAAAGGAGCTGGCAGAAAAGATTTATGACAAATGATAGTAACATATCTATTTAATTTAAGCAGTCAAATCAAAGCAGTGTTCCAAAACACAGGTATAGAAATCAGACAGATAAAAGCAAAACAGCTACTATTTGGAATAAAGAAAAAGATAATTAGTGAATAGTTATAGACTACAATGTGTTCTACACACTTCTACGCACATCTCAAATATTGAAACTGCTTTATTCCAACGTTTCTTTTTTTTAACAAAAATAGATTATGGAAGATACAGTGAATGCTCAGAAACAGCGATACATACTTAACTACACAGAAAACCTTAAACAAGAAAACAAATATCTTAGTGACAATTTGGGCTAGACTCTGAAATTTCTTTTCACTAAAATAACTGTTTTACAAATTCAGGAACATAAAGACTGTCTAATAAGCCTGAGCATATTTTGGTGTTTTTTCTAAAAGGGAAATAAGAATTTCATATGTGAAAAAACTAAAAAATACTCAATTCTGATTGCATAACTTTCATTTCAAAAATCATGAAAATAATCATTTCATTCCAACTTCTTCTAACAATTATCAGCCACATCCAATGCCAGAACGTATGATTATATTAGCACAAATAATATTTTATCTATCTACTGGAATTAAAAGGGCAGGAACAGCTTTTTAAAATGACAATGAATGAAATGACAGAATTAACCTGAGAAGAGAATTGCTTCCTGGTTAGCAACAGTGGGCTCAAAAGGGGCAACATTCATGGATAGCAGTCTCTGCATTTTAAGTGTTGTCCACTATAAAGAGTACTATACTGTGATCTGGGAATAGGTTTGAACTTTCTGTGTATTTTATTTTCATTGGCTAAAACCACCTCAGTGAAAAAGAGACCGGAGACATAAAAGCATTTCTCTGGAACTGACCTAGACCTGAGGACTTTAATGGCATCAGTAAAGTCAAGCTGCTCAAACCCCAAGGCAACCTCACCTTGGCTATGCAAAAGCTTGGCCATGGGAAAAGTGTGTGTGTGAGGGGTAATAGCCAGGCTGGGTACAGAGTCACAGCTGGGAACTAACTGACAACCACATCCCTAGAAACAAAAGCAAGTTCCCACAATTCAGGTTTTTTTAAAAGGGACAAGTTCTTCTGTGAGAACTTGGTGCCAGAATCTGGATGGACGCTATAAACATGACTCTGAAGATAGATGTAATTTACACAAAAGGACAGAAGGAAATCATGTATCTGTGAGGATGAACAATAAAACATTCTTATTCATACTCAAACATGACCTTTATGCCACAAGTATATGCTTTGGCCAAAAGAGAAATTTCTCTGAAAAGTAGTGATTTTTATCTGTTGCATGGCCCATTCACATGATCTTTGAAACTCTAGGATTTATTTTTAATTGCCATGAAACAATCTGCCAAGGCTGTCATACAAAAATAAAAGTGGCAGCCTTCAGTATAAATCGCTTTGGATAGCAACTGTCCTCTTAGCAGGGAATCCCTAGGAAGGAACAAAAAATGCAGAACTAAACTAGTAAAGATGATGTTCTTTGAAAGAATTTTGGCATTCAGGAAGGAAGATGTCCCTGAGGCTGACTGCTGAGTTCCTCTTAGGTCCTCCCTTTCTGTTCACAAGTAAAATCTCATAAACCTAACTTTCAAGGTATTCTCATAAGTAGTAATAAACATATGGAATTTCCAGGATTTGATTAGAAAGTACAGAAAAATTAGATCACTTTATGCTACATTATAAGGGATCAAATATTTGCCACAATTCCATAGGTATTTCCTTTTATTCTTTCTATCTTCCATTGTTAATGAGGAAATGACAAACACCAGGGAGTTAGGGGTGATCCTCTTCCTCAGAGAGCCCACTGTCCACTGGTAAAGTGAGATCCAAGAGAAGATTGTTTTATACACTGTGGCTAAATGTACTAAGAGGGGTGCACAGAATGATTTCGGCTATAGGAAGAACGGGACATTGAGGAGCATTAGATTAATATTCTTGGAGCTGCATAGAAATAAGGATTTGAAAGGTTTGGACTGGAGGGAAGGAACCCAGTGAGGGTGAGGGTCTAAACCAAGTAGTAGTCATAGAATGGGGGAGGGTGGAGAAAATTTAGGAGGAAAGTATCTGTGAGAGTCTCATGGTTGCCTCATACAGGGAAAGGAGTGTACTATGACTCAGAGTTCTACAGGTGACTGGAAAGATGGTGGAGCCAACAGCACAGGCCAAGAATGGAGGGGAAACAAGTGTGGTGGCAGAGATGCCAAGTCCAGTGTTAGGCAGCCTGGGTTGTTCACTGCTCTTCTGGTGGGCTTCAAGCAGAAAGACATCCAGTAAGAGGATGGACACATGAATCTTAATATCTCAGAGAAAACTGCTGGTCAGAGATATGGACGGGAAGTCTTTGAGTCCAAAGGCTTTGATGAAAGATGGCCAACAGGGTCAATAGGAAAGTGCAGAGGAGTACACAAGAATGGGACCATGGAAAGATGACTTGTAAAAGCCACAAGTTGGACCGGGTGGTACCAAGAATAGGAGCATATATTCAAAGAATGGAGAGGAGAAAGGGTTTGAATATCACAGGAAAACAGATCTGTTCAGTAAGATGGCGAGTGAGCCCAACCGGAAAGATGGAAGTGAGTTTAATGGGAGAGCATCAGAAGCCACACATGGAACAAAACTCTGGGTCATTCTATGTGTTACACACCATCCTAGGTGAATAAAGTAGACAGAATCCCTAAGCACACAGTCTTTATATTCAAGTTCAGTGCTACTCAGTGTGAGCCACAGACTGCTGCCAGCCCACCATAATCACTGTATGATGAGTTAAGTACAGCTGTTAAGAATACGCATCAAGCAATCTTTACATGGCCAGGATGTCCAAGTGCATGATCATTTTCCTGTAAATTTACTTTCATTTTAGTTGATGGGAGAACTGGTCTATGCCACATGGGAACAGACAATGTGTTTGTCCCCAAAGATAACCTAAGAGGCATTGCTTTAGTAGACTGTAGTAGCTTAAAATATGAGAAATGGGAACAGAGCATAGAAAACTGCTAGAATATTTGGATAGGAAAGGGAAGAAAAACAGTGGCTGCTAGCCAGAGAGGAATCTTATCTTACCAGAACTAAATTCTGTAGGGACAAGGACAAATGGTTTTTCTCAAAAATTAGGATACCAGTATTTCCCTTCAATTCTGTGCAAGTATTTATATATTCATGCTTAGAGAAAACCACCACCGATTACATTTACATGGGCATAATTTATGCCTTATGAGATTCAGAAATATTATAAATCTAAATATATAGGCTAAATGGGTTTCACTTGTAGGCTGCAGCTGATCAGTTTCAGCCAGAAGAGCAATCTCCTGCACTAATTCCATCCCACCATACCCATTCCCTTCCTGTCCCGGTGTTATCAGGAGCTAGGCACGCTCCCCATAGGAGCGTTAGGCAGAGACTGATCCTGTGTTTATCTGTCATTTTGGAAATTGGATATTTTGTTAGAAGAACTGACACTAATGAAAATACAAGTTGCCATTTACTATCCAACACCACATGCAGGTTAATTAATAGGACACACAGCCTGGAAGAAGCTAGCAATTTTCCATTTAGCTTTTTCAGATATTAGAATTAGATAGCACCATCAAATAACGCACATACGCTGAGCCAATTTATTACTTTATAGGTAAGGAGGGAAAATCACTGCTTCAAAATCCTTTACAATCCACTTATCCTAGCATCATAGATTGTTGGGTCCCAAGGTTCCTGTAAAGGTTATTACATTAACTTTCTATTACTAAACATAATGCCAGAATCAACTTAGAGGAAATAGCAATCAGTTTGTGGGTTTTTTTTTCCCCTCTCTCTTTCTGGCTTCCATGAAATATGAGCTCCATCTCAGTTACCACTTATATGCAAAAGGTCTCAGAAAATATTTTTTCCAGGAAAAATGTAAAACAAATCAGGAAACTTTATATGCATGGTGCCTGGTTCTTACCTCCTGTAGTAACTTATCTAACTTGTGCTGCAATTCAAGGAAGTATCGTGAGGTGATGAGCCCCTGGTGGGATTTATCCAAACAATCTCGAGCCAGTTCAATAATTTGATGGTGAGTGAAACTAAGCACTCCATCTGCTAGGGGAAGTACGTTGTCAGGGGAGTAGCTGGTGATAATTTCCTTTAGACGCTCTTCCATCTGAGCTGTAGCCTGTTTAAAAAAGACACACACACACACGTATAATATAAGGAAATGTACACAGGAGCATTTCAACCATTACAGCTTCCTAGTATTTTCATAGACCTTTAAAATGTTGTTTAATTCTGAAAATTAAATTTAAAAGAAACCTCATTTCTGGGCTTAGGGTATAGCTCAGTGGGAGGGCACTTGCTTATCATATGTGGAACCCTGGGTTTAATCTCCAGTATCACAAAAAAAAAAAAAAAGGAAAAAAAGAAAAAGGAAACACTATGAGACAGAAAAGAAACTGTGGTGCATACACATCATGATACATTTGTCCAACCCAACTACTTGTACAACACTAAGAGCAAATCTTACTGCAGACGTTGGCTGTGGGTGAGAACAGTATTTCCATGAAGGGCCACTGATTACAAGGAATGGGCCACTCTTGTGGGGGACAGTAGTGATAGGGGAGGCTGTGCATGTGTGAGGTGGGGTGTGCGTGGAAAATGTCTGCATCTTTCTATAAAGCTACAACTGCCCTAAAAAATAAGCAGAAGGAAAAGGTTACTATCACCTCATCAGGTAGAATAAATGAAGATTTGAAATATGGTAAGCCCCTGATTTATTAACTAGTTCTGTTCCCAGAGGAACATTTGTAAGTCAGATTTGTCCATAATCTGACTGTGAGTCTTATACTGCACACCTGTGAATGTAATAGGCATACCTGTGAAAGTTCACAACTCAAATGTTCATAAGTCAGGGACTTACTATATTTGGGCAAAAATGAGTATTTCAGGATGCTAATACCCTTTGTCTTATACCTCATCAAGTATAAAATGGTCCATGTAAGCATCTTCAAATAACTGTGATCATACCTGTGAATCATTATACTTTCATGTTAGATTTTGGTCCCTTGCTGACAGAGTGACAAAAAAATCAAGTATGTCTTAGTTGCTACTGACTCAAAATTCAGGACTGCTGCAAGAGTTCCACAGCCTACAAAGCGAGCCAAGAAGAAGTTTTCTTGGCTAGGTTTCAATGTACCAGGAACAAGCATCTTCTGTCATCTGTATCCTTTCCTCAAAATATGGTGTCATGTGCAAAAGGTCAATGGGATTCCCTTGGTAAAATAAATCTAAACTTTCCAACTTTCTTTTCCTTCTCTGTGATCACTTATTTCCTAATCAATATTCCTGGTTTATGTGAATTATATATGCAGGGAGATTCCCTCTTGCCTGTTTCTCTTGCTCCCCTCTCAAATCTGAACCTGCATTAACTAGCTAGAGTCAGTATCTGTTTTCCCGGTGAGCATGTAACATGTGATAAATAGCTAAAACAGCTTTAATCAATGATATCAATGCTGGGTTCATTACAAATAATAATACCTTCCTCCTGATTTATGAAACCCAAGATTTCCCTTTGTTTGCATGCCTCTGGCACCAAAATGGTAGGTGAGGATCAGAAGACATAAAAAAGTTGCCTTCTCCCAAATATGCACAAATGCATTGGTGGGAAAAGCACAGAACGGAGGCGAGGCAGGCGAGGCTGAGCCTGAGAGCACAGCTCCATGCAGCCAGGAGGTCTGGCAAGAACCCTTCACAACTGTGCACTAGCTCAAATCAAATTCCTTTCACCGGTCTAACTGGGGAACACCGCCACATTATCTTTCCAGCTACAGCAGTAGGGTTAAGATATAATGGTTAAAGAAAAGGGAATTCATAGAAAATGATGATGAGGTTTAAAAAAAAAAACTTTCATAAGACACCAGTCTCTGGCCTCTGTGAGAAAAAGTGGTCTCTGCTTGATAACACAGCAGGTCCCAAGAACAGGCACAGAGTCCAAAGAGTATGGAGGTTTGACAGCAGATCCTCCCTGTAGCACCCCCGAGACACACCCAGGGCACAATGTACAGCACTCAGTGCAGAGCCATTTCGACAAATACAGAGTGATGAGTTCTTGGCAGTTGTTAGCTTCCCATTTTTAAGTTATTTTCTCTTAAAAAAGCTTCAGTGATGTTTACTACAAGTCATAACTGGGTTGGAGACTTACTTCCTATAACAAAACCACCTTACAGATGCTAAACCTCTGTTGCCTGTTCATTTAGATTGTGGGCATCTTCAATTCAATTCATTACCTTTGGGAACCTTTCTTTGTAGACATGGTTCATCATAATTATTTCATGGTCACAGCAGGCGGGGGAACGTCCAGGGCTGCAAGCAAAGCAAATTACCCTTTTAAACTTGCCACAGCATGAAATGAAAATAAGCTTTTTATTTGTAAACAGTCAGATGCATCAAAAATACTATGCAGCCTTCATAGGAAAAGAATGCTGTATTACAAAACCAGTCATTAGTACATGCGTACACATTCATACCTGCAAACAGAAACACTAAATAACATTCAGAAAGCAAACTCAGGAAAATAAATACAACAAAATAATTGTGATAGGTCAAGTTAGGAAGTGTTCTTTAATTGAGATCATATTTTGCATATAGTATGAGCTCACCTAGTTGTGGAAATCAATTAATGAGTTTCAGTATAAAACAAAACAGGGTGGCTACAAGCAGCAACATCTAGGACATGTTTAACAGTGTAATTTCACACTTTTATTGTACACCTGCGCTCTGCCACGTACCGCTGGAGAGGGCCGAGAGGCTTCTCCGGCACAGGTGTCATAAGTGAAATCCATTTTCTAGTCTAGCAAATATTTATTTGGGATGCTGAGGTAGGCATTATGTACAATAAGTAACTGAGGTATACAAGTGTTGGATGTTTTTCTTTATCCCACTATTCAGTGTGTCTCCTTCTACATGTATACTGTTATGGTATTGTATTCCTTGGTAGATACAGCTTGTACTAGATATCCCAGAAACTTCTTTAATAAAATAAAAATGGTGTCCATATATTACTATGCAGTATTTCTAGAAGAAGTGGTAAAACCTGTCTTTTATTCTATATCTCAAAGACTAACATGTACCACAATTATACAGTGTGACTATACTTAGTAGTAGTTTATGATGCTAAATGAAGGAAAAAGATACAAAAGGAATCCCTTCTGAATCTGTAAACTCTGATGTTCAACTGAACACCCATGTTTTAAATAATAAAGCTATTTTTTTAAATCTTGATATTATATCATCAGTCTACACCAATTCTCTAGTACCAAGGTTTCCTATATACCCTGCCCCGACTCCCCTCTTCTAAGAAAGACCTGCTGCCCAGGTGCTGGGATTGCTGTCAGGGGAAGCCTTGAGCAGTCTTCCTCTTTTCCAGGACTGTCCCCACTGCAGAAAGTCACTCTGCTCAAGGCCATGGGTGCCCCGGGGTGTCATGGCCTTTCTAGGTATTCTAATAACAAATCCAATGACTGAGGCACAGAAGGAGGTATGTGAAAGGACAGACTACTCCCTGTGGGCTGGCTGGCACTGCTGGGCCTGGACCTCAGCTCAACTTCTCCCTCTGCCTAGTCTTGCTTCTTCCCTCCCTCGGGGGTTGATCCCTAAAACACACCCTGAACAGGAATCCCTAGTTTAATCGTCTTCCTGAAGAAGCAGACTGTGACACATATTATCTGAAACAAGGTCAAAATAAAATTGGTCCTACTCATTGTCAAGTGGAGTACATCTGACCACCACAAAATACAGGAGACAAAAGCTCCTAAAAATCTATTCACAATCCTGGAGGACTTATTGTGGGAAGAAAGAATAAAAAGATCAAGGTGGCCTTTAAGAGAGAATCTGGAAAAAATTTTCTCCTACTTTGCTGTACTTCCTTTTCAACTACAGGTCCCCTCTTCATATAAGTGTTCTTATACTATAATTAGATTATCTTGAAATTTTCAATGGCTACAAGGTGTAGTCTCTTAAGGCCATCACAATTACTGTTACTGCAGCAATTAGCAAACTGTGAAAATTTAAAAGAAATAACACAATACCTTTCAACGGTAATTAACAATGTCATTTGTCAATAGAAAAATCCCATCATGCTTATGGTACTTCAAAAATAAATTGACACACGTATGAATTAAAGGATAAAAGGTCTTCACTCAACATAGTGAAAAACAGATGATCAGTCCACATAATCAAGGTCTGGGCCGGGTCCACATACCTGAGGCTTCGGGAACGGGGGCGCATGGGGGTGTTCCTGCACCTGTTCTCGGTGGCGATGCTTTCAGTGGTACAAAAATGTTTGGATAGGAAGTGAAGCTCATCCGGTGTTGGTTGGTACGGTAGCTGGTGCAGTTTCTCTTGGGAGGAACAGGATGACTGAAACAAACCAAAGTCAAGTTACGAGACTGACCTCCAAGGGAAAGTCTTGAAATGTGTGTAAGGTCAAAGTGCTATACTTGGAAGACACTGCTACTCTAGAGTTTTCTTTTCATGTTAAAATCACAATAACAACCAGACATAAGAATGTAAGATTGATCAAACAATCAAAGACAGTAACAAGTTTTTCGATGAAGATAACAGTATGCAATGTAGCAATTATTGTTAATTATCATTTTGTTTTGAGGTCAGGCACCGTTTTTGTTGTGTTTGTGTTGTTTTGATTTTGTCTTCATTGTTATTTTGTTTCTTTAATTTTTAAAATAAAAAAAAACAAACAGTCACACCAACTAACTAGGAGTAGCAGTGCATGCCTATAATCCCAGTACGCTAGGAGGCCGAGGTAGAAGGATTGCAAGTTTGATCCCTGCCTGAGCAACTTAGTGATTTAGCAAGAACCTGTCTCAAAATAAAAAAATAGGGTGGGGCAGGGGGTTGGGAATGTAGTTCATTGTGAAGGTTTTGGGTTTGATCCCCTGTACTGGGGGAAAAAATTTCCACTAACTATAGCCTAAATGTACAAACTTTGTTGCTCTCTTTGAGGGGTCAACATGCCTCTTATATCTTACCTCATTTGGCGAGAAGCACAATCCCCCCTCTAAAAAATGAGTCTCCTTTCCAGATAAAATGTAGGCTCAGTCAAAGCTAAGGCAAGAAAGTGACCACCGAGTGAAATGTGGATGCACACTTATGACAGACTAGTTCTTAGCTGCACATAGCCACATCGCACCTGCCCTCACAGGCAAACACTGTGACTTTTAGGTAAGTAACATCAATGGTACGAGTGAGATGACAAATAATGTGATGAAACCTCTCTTAACAATGCATGCTGTCCTTTGATTCAACTGCCATCAGTATGTACCACAGGAGAAAGGGACGAGATAAAGAAACGGCTTTTCTCACGGGGTCTCCCCTTCCTCCCTCCTCCTCTCTGTGGCTGAGACCATCATTTTTTTCATAGCTTCAGTGGTGGTGATTTGTTTTTAAATCTTTGCCTGTAGATTTACTTTTTGAAAATTTTCACTAAACAGCTAAATAACGTGGCTTTTAATCAACCTGAGTTCTATAACTACAAGGCAAAGAAACCACAGTATTCGCTGTTTTGGTTTTAGTGAGTACACTTGGTAAGCAAGTCTAAGAGATGCAGAAACTTTTAAGTAAGGGATTGAGCCCAGGATCTTTGCACTGAGCTACATTCCCAGCTCTTTTCCTTAATTTTGAGACAGGGCATTGCTAAGTTGACCAGGCTAGACTTGAACTTCTTATCTTCTTGCCTTAGCTTTCCAGTGTGGCGGGATTTACCAGCATGCACTACCATGTGGCTGGCTTAAAAAAAGTCTGTGATTACATTAAGAGCATCCTATAAATACTGAAGCATTTCAGCGCAGTAACACTTGAAATTAATGACTATGGCTTAAAAACATTTGGAAACCTTGAAATTATAAAACGCCTTACTGCCTACATACCGAGACAGTATATCCTGAGACAGAGGGATTTTTATAATGTAATGAGATTATTTTATAAGCCATAAAAATGAGAACAGTACTAGAAAGATAAAATAAACCAGAGCTTTATTCAGAACAAAGAGGCACAGCCTTAAATACTTTCAGTATGAAAATAATAAAACCTGTGAACTAAATCAGTTCAAGAAATCAGTGAAATAATAAATCAGTTCAAGCAGGAGAGAGGTGGGGGATAACAGTAAAGACAGGGAAATTAGCAAGTAGAAAAACAGAATTAACCACTTATTTAAATACAGGATAAGCAAAAATTGTCTTTTTTCATCAATTTTATAAGATAACAGGAAATATAAAAACAACAATTTTATCAAATTTATTCAATAAAAGAATTGACTGGTTGAAATGACACCTGCCCAAAGGGCACTGCTTGGGATAGTCAGTAAACAAATGTGCTGCCCAAGTGATGCTCGGGTACACTGTTAAATAGTTAAGAATCTACACACAGGACTTGGGATGTAACCTGCAAGGCCCCAGATTCAATCCCCAGTACCACAGGAGAAAGAAGAAAAGAAAAAGTATATTTGCCTGTGTCTCAAAGTAAATCAGTGTAAACATTTTGGTATCCAAGATTTCAAAACTCCGGAAGTTCATTCATAATTACTTTGGATGGCAAAGTGTCAACCGAGCTGATGGGAAGTTACTTAAAATATTTATTTAATCTACTTGGTGTTCCGGTTGTCATAGAAATATTAATATATTTGATTATGAGCTGCTGGCCTGATTATTGCTGGGATACTGTGTACAGTACAGACATCATGACATGTTTCTTAAAATGAATTTCAGAACATACCAGGTTAAAGAATTTCACAGAAGCCATTGGGCCTGAGCTTGTCCCGGGATAAAACCAACCTACTTCAGCCAGAAGGGGAGGTGAGGGGAGGCCAGGCAGCAAGAGGAGGCGGTGCGGCTTCAGTGCTGTCTTTAACACTTTACTTATCACATAATCTGTTTCTCAGAACAGTTGTGGTAAATGTAACAAGATGTTAAAATCTGCTCAATCTAAGGGAGGTTTTGTGCCTGTATCATAACCATTAATGGAAGCTCCATAAGAAAGTGCCCATGTTTAGCAATAGAGAATCTGTTAAACTAACTGATACAATGCTATGAGTAGGATAACGTCAGAGGAAACCAGAGGCCTGGGGCTTCTCTGGGAAGAGGTCCTTTTTTTTTTTACTGTTTTTTTAAAAAAAAAACTTTATTAGTACAGATTTGCGGTACATAATATTTACATTTACTGCAGAGAGTAAGTGCATGTATTTAACACCCCTCTCCTTCCTCTTTCCTCCTCCCTTCACCTTTAGATGCCCTTCACCCATTTTCTTTGCTTTTTTTAAGTTCCTGCTTGCAACATGGTTTTTCTCCGGCACCGGGAACCGAACTCACGACCTTGCACTTGCCAGGCAGGTGCTTTGCCGCTGAGCTAAATCCCCAGCACCCCTGCTTGCAACATGTAATGACTATATTCCCTGCAGGTAGCTGGTGCATGTACATGGTGCACCTTAAATCTTTTTATGGCCCCTTCCCTCTCCATCTCCTGATTCCCTTCCCATTTGCAAAAGATCTATCTCCCTTTCATCTCAGGTGGAAAAGCAAGGTATAAACGGAAATAGAGTCAATCCCAAAGAGGCCAAGGAGAGCCTAGGGCACTGGGGGGAAAAATCACAGGCCAGCAAAATGGCCTGGCGGTGACTCGAAAAGTGCTAAAGGGAACCCACAAAATGAGTCACACTGGGCAACAAAGAAGTACAAGTTCAGTTTTGGCCGAGATGAGGGACTCAGAACTTGTAAAGCCAGTGAACAGAGCTGCCAGGATGATAGAGATGAACGTGCTGTCCCCAAGACCTCATGTATTTTTGTTTTTTGTTTTGTTTTGTTTTGTTTTGTTTTGGTTTTGGTTTTTCTCTGGTACCGGGAACCGAACTCACGACCTTGCGCTTGCCAGGCAGGCGCTTTTGCCGCTGAGCTAAATCCCCAGCCCCCTGTATTTTTGTTTTTTAAAGGTGGAGTCTCACTATGTTGCTCAGGCTGGTATTACCTCCTGTGCTGGAGGGATACTCCTGCTCCAGCCTCCTGAATAGCTGGGACTGCAGGCATGCACACCATGTCTGGTTCTCGTGTGCCTACTGAAATGGCCCTTCCATTGCTCAAAGTATCCTTGAGGAACCCCTCTTTTAGAACAGTTGCACAAATTAGTTTGAGAGTTTTCCAATAAACTAAGTCCCGTTGCTTCATATTTATGTAAGTGTAGTGCCAGTGATCTCATTACCACTAGTTTGCATATGACTTTTGACTACACCATACATCAAATCTATTCTCAAAGAATGAAGATTTATCCAAAAACCTGTGCCACTTTTCAAGGCAATTAGAGTTCCAAATAAATATTTTGAGTAAAAGTATCATTTAAATAAGCATTTAGTCTCTCAACTATTTTGCAAAGATAGTGTTCATATGCATGTAAAAGTTTGTACTTGTTATTAAAAGTAATATAGTTTATAGTTGTACCTCATATTTATAGGTATGTACATTTTTATTTCCTTTCATTCCCTCAGTAGGAAATAATTTATCTGGTGAGAAATGTATGGAGGGATGTCTTCCTACTACTACAATTCCCTATCACTTATTTGAAAATTGAAAATTATGATGCAAATATTGTCTTGGAAAAGTTCCACGAATTAATTTAACTGCAAAATTTGATGCTAAAAGTTGCAATTCTACATATTCCCTGGGAGGACTGATTAACGTCATATGGCCAAATCTTTCCAGTTTCAGAATATAGCATTTTTAACATTTGGCAATTCAGTAGTTTTCATAATATCCAAAGGATAAAAATATAATGATGTTGACATTTCAGCATAAGCAATTCTGGAGTTCTCAGCTAATACTACAATTATCTGTGAAATTTGAACTGTATTTTTAGAGTGCTTAAATTTTATCTGTAGATATCCTATATTTTAATTTAAAATAACCAATGTGCATTTATGGTTGGCTAAATGACTAATAGTTAATGAGAAATCCAGGAGTGGATCAGATTAGACTCTGCAAAGACAAAATTGCAAAGACTAAGGAGTTTTGCATGAATTTGGCCCTGACATTGCAAGGACAGAAACACAGAGAAACTGAGGAACACAAGAAGCAGCTTCTCTCATTTTTCCTCCTTGCTTTTGTCAACAACCACTAGGAAGCAAGAGAGTGAAATTTTTGTGCAGTAGCAACTCCAGCACATAGTCTGAATGGCTCCTATGTCTTCCGGCAAAAACAGTAATTTTAGAAGCTAAAAATTCATTTGGACAGAAAGAAACAGGAACACCGAGATCAGCAGTCAGTTGTGTAACACCTTCTCTGAGAAATGAATACGTCAGAAAAAATATGTTAGAAGCACAATATGTGTGCTTGGTTAAAAACAGTCTGAGGGGGCTTGTTCGTACACGCTGAAGTTAGAGACAGCAGTGATTCCACGATGAGTGATCAATGGGTCAGGGTTATTAATTGCAAGGGTTAAAGAATGTCATGTAAATTTCTTCAAAAGAGCTAAGGAAACTTGGTGTATTAGTATTACAGAGGGGGTGATAAATAGCCCCTCAGTTAATTCTCTGTGACTCAGGTCTGTGATTCATAAAATCAGGGAAAAAAAACGAAAATTCATCTAGGATATGTTGTCAGGATTAAGTGAGCTAGTGCATTTAAAAAAGTTAAACCAATGCCTACTTCAGAATAACTATAATAAAAGCGTTATTTTAAAAATTACTCATATACAATGCAGTCTCATTACATGTAGCTCATCCTTTCTTTGTAGATTTACTTGTCAAAGTGGTATCCAACTTATTAGTGGAAAAAAGAAAGATCCTGAACTTTCTACTTTTCTTGCAGAAGAGAGATTTCTACATCTGAACTCTAATCAAACCTGATAGAAGGCAATGCTAGGTTAAAAGTAAAATTGGGGATCCAGAGATATGAATTTAAATTTCAAGGATAGAGAGTATTAAATGAGAGTTTGTATGAAATATTTGTTCCTTGACTCTTAGTTAAAACTGCCCAAGGGTCTGGGGAAAGACAGTACCTGAAATTTTAAAAATTAATTTTTCTTTCCTTTTTTTGGTCAATGAATTTCAGCACTCATTTTTACACTGAGGTTTTCCAGATTTTCGCCATCTGAGATATGGACTAATAAGCTGATGGTTACTGCACAATAGCCAAGGATGACTTCATGTTGCTTAGCGGCTATTTAACCCAGTACTGCTAGTCACGATTTGTACTAACGTGAAACTGATTTGCCACTGAAACTACTCAAGACTGTTAGGATGTTTGTCCAAAATGATCTAAATGGACAGTACATATTACCTCAAAAATGGAATAATGGGCAGGAAAAGTAATTGGCCTCTCTTTTATAAAATACTGTGAAGAAATCGCAAAAATAACACAGTGGATTTTTAACAATTTGATGTTAATGGTGCCCAGAAAGTCCGCATTTTATTACGCATGGGGTTCTGGAAATACTTAATAAAAGACAGTGGTGAAACCAGCCAGTTAGAGTTTATCTACTTAATTGGTAGTTTCTTTTCAATTCAAATATTCCAAAGTGGCTGAAAGTATATGCTTAGCACAGTGCTGTGGGCTGTAAAAAAAAAATACTAGATGATATCTCTGTAGTGGTTGATTGATTGTGTCAACTTGAGAAGTTTAGAAGCATAACTAAACTTGGCTAAGCAGTTGGCTCAGCAGTTCTACACCCTAGAGGGTACAGAGAAGCCACCCTAGGGTGTAGAGGATCACCCTAGGGTGGATCGTCACCTAGATAATATAAAAGGGAAATGAAGAAGGACAGAGGAGCTTCCATTCCTTTTGGAGGAGCTCCAGTCTTCACCTTCAGCGTGGACTTAGTCTCCTGGCTTCTAGTGCAGACTCTTCGGCTTCCACCTTGGATCCTTTAGCCTTCCGTCGCAGACTCATTGGCCTCCTGGTACGGACTTGCACGGAATTCTGCAGTGAACTCCAGACCCTGGACTGATTCCTTCAGTCTTCAGTGTGCAGACACCCTCTGCACACTTCCCCATACAACTCTCTGACCCTCAGAAGCCAATCTTGTAATTTCTTATAATTGGTACATCCTGTGTTATATCTGTTTCTTCAGTAAAACCCTGACTGATACAATCTCCAAGCATAAACTATGGATTTTTGACAAAATAAGGAAGGATATGAATTAGAAGGGGTTCCACAGCCATAGATTTACACTCCTGGCCGGCAAGTGAGCACCCAGGCTACCTCACTAGGTATCTATTGAACACTCTGACTTCCTGGGCCTTTCTAAATGACCAGCTGATTTCTAAAGCCCTGCAGACACCACCAACTTCAGCCAAGAATGCACGTATAATCCACTGACCCATGTCCTGTAATTGCTAGGTCTCTTGCTGAAATGTTATAGTTTGAGGCAAGAGCCACGGTTCCATCTTGTCTCTTTATTTATCTTAACTTCTAAGTTCTTTTCATCTCTCCTTGAAAGTTCTTACCTAGAAGGCAAACATTTAAGGTTTGCCTTGTTGTTGTTGTTCTTTAAAGGAGAGTGAAAACAAAACAAAGTAAACCTCTAAGCCACAGAGGAAAAAGACCAAGTCCATCAAAGTGTAATGGCATTTTCAGCACTAATATCACTGGCATGGAACCAAAGCAATAAAACCAGATTGCGTTTTTCTCCCCAAACTACAGCAAACAGTATTAAAATGAAAGCTTCCAGTCGCCTGCAAACTTTGGATCCTGAGCCTGACACAATTTATGCACCACAGTTCAGAAGCCTGCAGCAAAATTCTGTCCTTTCTGTGTCTGTCAGGCCACCATTTGATGTGTCACCTATTCAGAGTGGCAGACATGTGGAATTTATCTTCTCCTTTCTACCAGGGCACTTCCAGAGAAAACACTGCCCACATATTAGCTCTGAATTTTACAGGGACAGAAAAAAATCAGGCACTTACAGAGACAGTGGAGCTGGGTGTGTTTGTCCCATAGCCGGAAGAGGGGAGGGAAGCCAGCGACCAGCGGCGACCATCAGTCCTATTGAGAAAGGGTGTTTAGCGAAGGCCAACACTGGAGTATTGTTACCTGGGAACCCCAGGGAAATGAGTATTTTCAGTCAAATGAATGACACAAACGTAGTCTGTGAGGATGTGGAAATGTTCGGCCAGGGCCAGGGTAAACAAACATTATACAGCAGGTTGACTTTTATTCAAAATGAATCAATACACCCAAACAAGTGGAAAGTGAATGGGTTGATCCATAGTATTGATCTCTCACTAATACAGTTTGACAAAATGAATACCAGGGATAATTACAGTGGTCAGACTCAGCAGATTCAAATGAATACAAATAGAAAGGGAGTGGGCACTCACATCCAGGAACTGATAACCAGGGCCCATAAACTTTATAAGGGACTGCATTCCAGCATGGTACCAATGCCCATGGGCAGGTTCAGAGCCTCTTTCACAACTCCACTTAGGATTCCCAATGGAACGGTTCTGCTCAATATATTTAAGAAGAGAGGAAGCAGTGGCTGGTGCAAACCTTACGTGGCAAGTAACTCTAGCACCAGGAAAGTGACTTCTCAGAATCACTGAAGAGTTACTGCCATCTGAATGACTTGGTTTCATAGAGTGTTGGAGCAAAGGCCCCCTCCAGAGTTTTTAAGCACACAGCCCAGCTCCAGCCACTGACAGAATAGGGCAGGAAGAGAAATCCCCATGCATGATAGAACTTAAGGCAAGGAATGCAGCCATCTTCTCTAGTCTTAGAGGCAGAGCTGGGAGAGAGTGATTATTTGTGTTCAAGTGATGAGAAGATGGTGGCTCTGAGTTAGGATCTAATCATGAATTGGGATCATCAGAGGGATCTATGATGAGTTAATGCAGTAACAGAGAAAATACTGGTGTTAGGGCCAGGGGATACCACAAATTAACTGGGATCTCTGGCATTCCAGAGCTAATGCTTTATTAGGAATTTTGAACATCTTAAATAGCATAAAACATGGTGCAAACAAATACGTGCAAATTTACCAAGGGGAAAAACATACATTATACACAGCAACACTGTATTCTTACATATAGCATCATATGCAGACTCTTTATAATTTGTGATTATAGTAATCGACTAAGGAGAGACAAGAAGAGACAGAATTTACCAGGGATACATTCATAATACACTGAAGTTAGGGAATTCAACAACAGTAGACTTGAGTCTGAGAAACCACAGTAAGATGTTCATGTAGAAAACTGACATTCTATCCTGACATTCAAAGGAAACTATAGTATCATGGGCTACCATGGATGTTACCTCCAATAAATGCAAATGGTCCACAAAGACACAACAAAGAAAATCAAGTGGACAAATCACAGAACTACTACAATGTTAAGATTTCGGTAACATTTACCTGTCATTTCTGTGACCATGATTGGAGTACAATTGAATCAAGTAGTTAAAAAAAAAGAAGCAAAATAAGATGTTTATAAATATGTCAGATAAAAGAAATTGGGAAAACTAAGTTACATGTTGTTGTTTGAAAGCATTTTAAAACAACTGAAAATATTAAAATTTTAGGAAGAAAATAATTCTAACACATTTATAAAGATATCCAGCTATCAATTATGGACACAGGTTAATCCTGTTTTACTTGGCTACTTATTAAAGTCTTGAAAACCCATGTCTTTTAAAAGCACTTGAAAGCACTTCCAATTAGAAAAAGTATATTTTAAGTGCTTCCAATTTGGAAAAGAAAAGAATATGATTTTAAAAGAATTATTCAGTCGATTTAATAGCAATTATCAGAGACTAGTCTCTGGAAAGCGTGAGGGACACAATTTCCCCTACCATGATTTTGTTTTGTGATTCATTAACTTTCCTTTCCCTCCGGTATCAATGAACATATTTCAGATGGATGAACAATTCCAAGAGGAGACACGTTCTTATTAGCTCTGAAGCATGCATTACATTTACTTAGTCCAGAAAACACACAACTAGAAGGATGTTTAAACATGAATGTGCTCAGTGCTCTGTACAGCTATTGACCAGAAATAATTTACATCTCATAAAGTTTCCTAAGTTGTCCGTGTCTGTTTACTCAAATGGAACAAAAGGACCACTGCATTTTTATTACTATGACAACCACACATAAGAAGTTACTATATATGCTATATGCAGTACTTATGGGAGCACCTACCTACTTTTTCAAGAAAGCTATCATATAAGTGCATTTTGAAGCCTACAACAGTGTCTTTTCTTTGCAGTAGCTACCAATAAAATGTTATCCAAAGACAAAACTACATTCTTACCAAAGCAATAGGCTTTTTTTTTTAAAAACGAGTCTTTTCCTTGTGGGTGGAAATCTCAATGTTACATTACATGAAAAATAAGAAGGGAAAAACATCTGATGGGAACACAGGATATAAAGAGATTGGTTAAAAATACCATTTCAACACTACTCAGTAAAATTTAGATTAATATGGTGCATAAAAATGAAAAGCTCTTGACATCAACTTGGCTATTTTAACTGTATGAAGAGGAAGCAGGTTTCCTCATTTGTTTGTTATAGTCACCAGGGGTGACACATTATCTATTCTACTAAAGGACAGCACTAATTGAACTAGGCAGATACAATCTAACCAGCTATTGTAGAAAAAATTCTGAAAGAGCACAGTGGTGACTCAGTTCATGAGCTTAATTATTTCCATGATTCTGGTACCCATATTGCAATTCTGCAACCAGAATCATGGAAAGAATTAAATTCATGAACTGAGGTACCCCTGTAACCAGGAGGATGCGCTAATCAGCAGTGCTCAGCAAGCTTATGATGACCACAACCTGGCAGGCAAATCTGTTTTACTAATTTGCTTATGGAAATACATTTTGAGATTTAACCTGGAAAATAACAACTAGGCAACTAGGAGAGACCCTGACATTTATTCAAGCACAATAGACCTCCAATGAAAGTGAAAGCAACTTATAACAGGTAAACCTTGCAAACCTCTGGGACAGGTGAGACATTACTACCTCACCTTACCAGCAGGGGAAGAAAATAGTAAGCCACTCCACAATCAGATGGATTCTAAGTCAGTACAGGTTGAGTTTCCTTCATTCGTGGGACTAGAAGTACTTCCAATTTGGGTATGTTTTGCCTTTTCGAGTATTTGTATAGAGCTTACTGGTTGAGTACTACTACTCTGTAAATCTAAAGCCTGAAATTTTTTGAGCATCATGTTGCTGCTCATAAAAAGTTTTAATAGTGCTCAAAACATTTCAGATTTTGAAACATTCTAGATTTTGTTTTTTGACTAGGGATGTTCAATCTGTATTATAATGAGCAACATGAAAATGTTTCCTTTCTTCAGATAAAATTTGTGATAATATGATGCTCATTTTGATCCTTTTCAAAGTCCATCTTAAAAATTAACTTGAAACTTTTATTCTTGAATCTGTAATAGGAACTATGGGAAGCAAGTATATCACCATACTTTATGGTCTGTAATTTGAATGCTGCTTCACAGGGAGTGTCTACCAGGAGAGTATTGTCAAGAACAATGTTAGGAGAGATTCATAAGCCTGACCTTTATCTCTCCACCCGAGAATAATATCAAAGATAGACCAATATTTCTTCTCGTGGACTGAATTTACAAAACAATAAACTGTGAGGTCTCAAAACAACATTTCTGCTTAAAGGCCCAGAAATTCACAGCAAATGGCAGGGAACAGAGACCCCTGGATAGACTTTTTATGGTTCCTAAATGAAAATCAGCTCTAAAATAGAAAAGACTCCCAGATGTTAAATATAAAATGCCAATTTGAGTTTTTATAATGAACACAGGGTTCTGTTTACTTGAATACAAGTTTAAAAAGATGATCGCTCATGTCCTAATCTAAATTAATACTTTCTGAAGAGTGTGGAGGGAATTCCAGCTGGAGTTCATACAAAATGAACCAGAGGTCTCCTGTGATAATCTCCTGTCACGCTTTATGGTTTATTTGTCAAAAATTAGCATGCTTGGGGGCTTGTGTATTTTTCAGATTCATCTGTCCTTCATTCACCCACTTAATTATTAGATTCTCTTCATCTTTATAGATCTGGCAAGATTAAGAGACTATGATTTCTGTCATGTTTTAAATGCATGCTGTAATGCGATTTGCATTTTTCTTATTACTCAAGGTAATTAGATACATTCATCTTTAAAAAGAGATGTGTTTTAAAAGCTACAGTAAATACTTGTTTATTGGTTTTTATAAGTTCTTTCCCCACTTGGAATAGTAGCACCATTATGAATTAATATTCACTGGACAAGCAGACTTTCTCAGACTAGTTTTCATATTTCTTTATAGTACTCAGTATGAGGAAATAGAAGACTAAAAGTTGGAATTTAGGGAGGGTCTGGGTAGTGTGGATCTTAATAAGTTCTTTGGAGATGAGATCCTAATCTCTCTAGTATCTTCCCCATGGTGGGACTACACATAGGCATTTAGCATATGATATGAAATGACTAAACTAATGAAAGAACATTCCTTTTGGGCTTGAGGCTTATATTGGAATCTTAATTATACAGAATTCTGAAAAATACTGTAAGCATATCCTTCTCTCTGGATTTTGTACCATAAAATATGTTGTATGCTGACAAATAGCAGTGAGAATACTTCGAGTTTTGTGGATTAATACCATGTGTGATGGTTGATCCACTGTGTCAATCTGAGAAGTTTAGAAGCTTAGCTAAGTAACTCAGCAGTTCTACAACCTGGAGTGTAGAGGACATGCCCTAGGGCGGCTGTTTAGAGCTCCAGGATGTTGTAATGGTTGATTCTTTGTGTCAGCTTGAGAACTTTAGAGGTTTAACTAAGTGACTCAGCAGGGGCCAGGGGCCTCACTTTGTAAACATCCTGAGCCTGTGCAAAAGGAGGGCAGGGAGATGGTATGAGTGCTACTCACCCTGTGTACAATATAAGGGAGGAAAAGAGGCTTTTTTGTTCCCTTTTGCTTTTGTTGCTTTTGCTGTCTTCTGCCGCTATGAATTGATGCTCCTCTGCATCTTGTAGCCAGATGATTATGGACTGAAACCTCCACAAATTGTGAGATAAATAAACCTTTTCTTCCTTAATTTTGGGCATCAGGTATTTTGTCTCAGCAATGAGAGACAAGAAACTAAGACACCATGTGTAAGAACATATTTTTTTTAATGTACCTCTGCTTTTGCTAGGTGCTACAGTAATCCACTTCAGGACAAAGTTAGGCCTCTGATGAAAATTTAGCAAAGACCTAGGGCATTCAGACCATAAAGAAAATTTAAAGTGAATATACAGAGGTCTGGCTGAAGGGGCATTTTGGCTTTTCTATTTTTCCAGGGTAGAAGAGGACAAGATATGTCTTAGGGTGAGAGGGGTAGATGTGAAGGTGAATGTTTGAATCTGACAGGGTGAAGTACACTGATTCCATGTACAACACAGAAAAATGACTGAGGCACACTCTTCTGCCTTGGCCAGACAACAGTAGAAGACCCATCCTTGAAAAGATTGATCTTCAGTCATTCTGAGCAACTACCCCTGCCCCTGTCCCTTCATTTAGTACCCTAGAGAGAACACATAGCTCTCTACTGTTTGGTGCCTAATTCTAAATTTGATAAAGAAAAAGCATGAAACATCCTACCATCCATCCAAGTACAGTTTTTTCTGAGGGGGAATCACTGAATGGATGGCTTGATATTCCTCAATACCAGGGCATCTCAGAATTTTTACCTTGTGACCCCAATAAGGTAATTTCTATAAAAAGTATTTCTACAACTAATTGTACTGGGACACAGATAAATTGAGCCTCTGTCTTAGCAGTTCAGATAATTTAGAGAAAAATCTGTTGAGAACCAACCATGCATGCACTACAGCATACAAGGGATGCACTAGGAACGGAAGAAAAGACAGAAAGGGAGCTTTATTGCCCTCACTGGGACCTTCCTGCCTATGGAAGGACCAAGAGAAGGACCTATAAATCTAACACAATGCAGAGGTCATTATTAAAACCGTTAAAGCAGGTGTGATACAGCTAAGTCCTTTGGCCAGAGGAGGTTCTGAGAAGGCCTTTTGTGATAATAAGCAGGACCTCCTAAGACAGACGGTAGAAAAAGGGTCAGGAGCAGGATGGGGGCAGGGAAATGAAACGCACTATATATTATTATCACCCTACCCACAAGTCCTTACCTCCGTGCAAATGAAAAATGGGCTGAGGCACTGGGGGAGAAATTTCTTGGACTATCTTGAGGGCTATTTCCTGTAGAGAGAAAATAATTACAACCTAAGTTTGTTTTTGTAGCATGAACCACATCCAGAATTTTCTCCTTACTAATATGTGTCTTTACATTTCTGCAAAATTTCCTTCCGTTTACCAGTGTTTTAGTTTTACTTGGAGTAGAGATGGGGGGGGTGTTCCAGCAGAGTTCTTCATTTGTGCAAGACACATGAATACACACATGTGCCCTGATCACCAACCCACAGTCCTCTGGATCTTTAGTAACCTAAGTGTTTCAGCACTACAGAATGACAAATAGATAAATGCCTTGGGTATCACCCTTCACGTATACTAATAATTCAAAGATTAGGATGGATGATTAAGCATATGCTTTAATTGGAGGTGCTTTCTTTTGGGGCAGACAGCCTTAATAAAAATTCTGAGTTCTCAAAAATAAATGCTTATATTACAAAGTACATATTTAAAAGGCAGATATGGCCCAGATGTGACAGCGCGCAACTGTAATCCTAGCTACTTGAGAGGCTGAGGTAAGAGGATCACAAGTTTGAGGTCAGTCTGTCCGTAAGTGAGACTCTGTCTCAAAACAAAAATGTCTGTTGATCCATCTCAGTGCTCCCTGGCTTCAGTCCCCAATGTCTCTCTTATCTGTCTCTCACTCTGTTTATCTGTCTCTCTGTCTCTCACAGTTACATAGATATGTCAGAAATAGTCCTGAAATACAAGGAAGAAACCAGCCATCTGGACCTATTTCTAAAACAACCCAGAGCTATCCCTGCATCTCTGGAGCAGCCCGGCAGGATTATCCCTTGTCAATATTTTCTTCAGCAGTCCCTCTGCTCCTAAGTGATGGCCTGCCTGGCCACGCAGCCTCTAAAAGCCACAGCAACACAAAAACCGGCAGCGCACGTTCCCCAAGTCCTTCACAGGCAGAGCGCAGTGCTGATTGCTCAAGGAAGGAGGGCAGCTCCTCCGGGGCTTGTTCCTTTCTCCATTAGCCCACTCAACCTGCTGCTGATCATTGAGAAAGCTTGGCAGGCAGCTGGCGAGGGCAAGTTCAAGACACTCCAGACCACCGCTTCCCTCTGCATGTTTAATTAGATGGGTGGAATTGTCTGAGGACTGTGCATGGGTCTGTAGCTAGTTTCAGTGAGGAGGTGAGGAAGAGCTGCAAAGCAACCCCCTGCATTCTTGAAAAATGGAAAATAAACCAGGAAGATATGTTTTATCCCTAACAGCAAGACAGTTGCCACTGTACTGGCTTCTTAGTGAAACAGACAATTGTAATCCGCTATAAGGCATACAAGATCTCATGTTACAGCTAGTACCTAGCTGTGAAGGTAAACAATTGATTATCATTGTGCAAAAAAGAACAGACTAATGAATTGTGGAGGAGAAGGTCAGTGTTGCCCCGAGGACTTCTGGACTGGCTACATCTCTACTGCAATTTTTCAGTTAACTTAAGGTTGCAAATTTTACAGTGATGTCTTCAACAGATGCCATTAACTTTATGACAGACAGCACAATCAAAGCAATTCAATGAGGAAGTGCTGAGAAGCCTAGATTCTCTCTGGAGAGAGAATCAACAAACGTTCTTCCCCCTGTTACGATGAAATTTATCATGCCTTCGCATCTGGTCTTCCTTGGGCCCCTGGAGAAAAGGATTTTGTTTTTTCATCCCATAAACATGGAGTCATTTTATCTATTTATCTGGCCTATTAAACTCTGTTACTTCTAGTCTCTCAACAGTCTTTATTCTCTACCCCTAACTTATGCACATGGCATGATCAAAATATATGGTGAATGTTTACATTTTTAAAAATTACTATAGTACAAGACACATTGCCATCACTTCTCAAAATACCCCTCTGGTTTCAAACACTCATCCTGTCACTCTGTTTTCTGAAGCAGTTCAGAAGTTCTCTTTGGAGAATATCTTCACCAAGGGCTGATAAAAATGCAGAGAGTCCTGCTGCCAAGTGTCATCTAATGCAAAGGCTTCTTGAAAACATGAGAGCGTGCCCTCATTCACCTTATTTGCTAGACCTGGCACCATGCAACTTCTGGCTCTTCCCCAAAGTCAAAGTGACTATGAAAAGCATTTTGGATTGATTCAGGGCATTTAGGCACACACAACAATGCAACTAAAGACAAGAAAGAGGATTTCTAGAACTGCTTCAGAACATAGCAAGAGCAGTAAGATTGTTGTGTTTGAAGCATGCAGAGGTATTTTGAGGGGAATTAATGGCAATACTTTCCATTACACTGGCTATTGCATTCCATATGCCTTTAAAACGCTTCGTAATTTTAAGAAGGCTAAAATATTTCCTTTCTAAAGAGAATAATGGGGCTGGGGCTCTAGTTTAGTGGCACAGAGCCTGGCTAGTAAGCGCAAGGTCCTGAGTTCAATTCCTGGTACTCACTCACTCCCAAAAAAGAGAATAATGCTAGAACTTTTTGCATATATTTTCTTTCTTTTTGTTTGGGAAAAAAATAATCACTTTTCTCACAAACCACATAGCACAAATTACCATTAAGTTATTTGAAATAACAAGACAGATGTTAATTTGAAGCCAAATTTTGAGGGGAAAAAAATCCCTGCTACCTCATTCATTTAGAATGAAATAATAAAACCAAGGAAACCTACCCCAAATTCCAAGCATGTTTTTTATAAAGGAAATACTGTAATGTATCTGGAAATTCTAATGATATCTACTGAAGTGTTAGAGAGTTTAGTAAATATTTTTAAAAATCTGGGTGGGGGTAGAGGCATTAACTTAGAATCCTTATCACTTTTAGAGATGGGAATAAGTGGCTCCTTGAAGCCATATAATATTTTATAAGACATGGTAACCCCTCATCTGACACTTGATAGACAGCGATAAAAAGGCAGGTCAGTCTAACTGCTCTTAAAAAAAATCAAGGCTGCCATCTCTCATCTTCAGATTTTGCCTTTACATCCTCCCTGGCCTGTCAGGTGTATCAGGGGAATATTTTCTTTAGTTTCAACTCATCTAGTCCTACACGGATGTAAAACCAAGTGCAAGTTCCCACATCTTCAACTTTAAGGCTGTGTAACTGTTGGCATCATCTGAATAATCTTTATTTTTTTCACATAGGATTGAAAGGCTGAGTGTCTTTAATTGTGCTGTCACAGTTACCTTGATGTCCTGAATCAATTCAAAATATTTACCTTTCATTTTGACTTCAGGAAAGAGCCAGAAGTCACACGGAACAGATGCAGTGAGTGAAGTGAAGCAGGACACACCACAGTGATTTGTGAGCCTGCCTTTCCAGTAGGTACCGCATGCAGCAGCATTCACCATAATTATCATCACACTAACAATGACATCCACAAAAGAGGACTTCTGGAACTGCTTCAGAAAGTGGCAAGAATGAATGAATAAGTATATTCAAAGTGAGTAGGAATATTTTGAGAGGGATTAATGGCAAAGTGTCTTTTACTGTAAGAAACTTTTAAAATTTAAACACTCACTGTAGTTTATCACCCTTTGTATACAAACACACACACAACACACAATCATGTGTTGCTTAAGGACTAGATGTGTTCTGAGATGCATTTCTAGATAATGTCATAACAGTGTGAACATGACACTGTACACATTTATAAATTAAGGTGGCAGCCATGTCATGCAGTGATATAATTTCATGTGATCACCACTGTGTATGTGGTCCATTGATGTTCTGGCAGTGGAACCAACAGGACTTGCTGAAAAATGGGGCTGAAAGAATGAGGCAGAGATGCTGTTATGTGGTGAATGATTATATGTGTTATCATTAAGGCTCCTAAATGTCAGGAGATATTAGAGAAAATGAGTGAGAGAAACGGAGACTAAAATACCTGATAATTACCCAAGGACAAGGGACTGCAGCTCAATTTGAGGGCGGTTCAGTAAGCTGTAAGTAAAAGGAAAAATAGAAGGGGACTTGAAGGAGGCTTGGAAACAACTCACACCATAGGGGAAAAGAGGGTCTCTCACCTGGAGGGAAAGACTGGTGAAGCCAATGAGCTTGAACTATGTCTACTGGTGCTAATTAGTGGGAAAATCTATCCGAGGTTTGAACATGGTCTGAGTGCACCTCCTAAAGGTGTACAAAGGAGTGTCCGAGGAGGAGGAGCTAAACTAGAACTAGATGTGCAAGGCCAGCAGGAAGAACACTCTGGTGGACAAACCAAGTATAATCGGCGAAGGGTTAGAAACAAATGAGGAAAACATTTGGACTAAAAATGGCTGGACTGAAAGAACAGGGCACCTAATCCACCCAGGGAATCTTGGGAGAGAAGTGCTTCCCGGTGGTAAGAGAAGAAAAGGGTAAGTGAGCATGATACAGATTTTGGGGTCACATGCTACAGAACATTGAGTTTTCTTTAGGGAGATATTGTAAGACGATCACATTAGATACATAGAAGTCAATCCTTGAAGTCTTTGTTCTCACTTGGAATAAAAATTGACTTCTACTTGGTCTCTGAAGATTTAGTGACACTGTTTGGTTATGCAGTAAGCAAAATGCTGCTAATTTCGAGCAGATCAAATGATACAGCATGCTGTCTCTATTCTGAACTCAGGTGAGGACCTGACTGCTGCAACCTTGCACCGTGCTTCTCAGGATGAGAGAGCATGACGGATTGAAACCAAAGTCCTATACATGACCTTCACTCCACACAGCACTGCTCTCCAAATCCATCCACACATCTGCAAAGCGATACCTGAGAGACTCTCAAATGAAAACTGCTGCCAGTTAATTCTCTGCCCATATGTGCAGCGCTTGCTTCTAACTCAAATCCTGCCGCTCCGGGGATTTGTTGGCTCCTGGATGTTTGAACGCTCGGACACTTTGTGGGCCGCTGGTATCGCAGTTGCTGTCTCTGACCTGGTACAGAAACCCTGGGTTGTGGTCAGGCAGTGGGTAGGTAATTAACTCCGTGATCCCCGTGGGGCAGCAGCAGGGCTCATACATAAGCAGTGAGCAAAACCATCCTTTACCTAACGGCACTATACAGG